CTCTCATTAGGAGCAGGGAGGACATGAAAGAGCAGCCGTTTCTTGCCACTGCCTGTGTATGACAGGAAGGAGGGACCCGACTCAAACTTCTCTGACAATACAGCACTGAAGGGGAGGAGAGGATATGTCCTCACTTTCATATTCTTTCACTCTTTCTTTCTACTGTGATAGCTTTTGGCTGTATGAGCAGCACAGTAGTGTATAATCTCCCTTGATTTATGGATGCTTTACTTTGAATGGAAACTGATGTCAAAGAGGCTGTTAATTAAAAACAGAGTACTTAATTTTACCTTTAAAAAGCAATCCAAAAAGCAGGAACTAAGTGTTGCTTGCTAAGGAAAGCATCACTGTTACTATTGCTTAAATTGTGGGTTATGGATTTGAACAAACTTAACTTTGCATAAAATGTCCCATACTGCTTGTGGTTTGGACATGAAATATACCTAAAATCATGCAGCTTGCTGAGAAAATTGCTATTACTTTTCTAAGCCACTTATGCTTACCAAGACCGCATTTATTTGATAAAAAATGTAGTAAAATAAAATAACTAAAGTTTGGAATCAGTAAGATTTGTGTAATGTTTTTGAAAAAAAGAGGCCTATTATGCTCACCAAGACTGCATTTATTTTGTCAAAAACACAGTAAAAAACAGTAACATTGTGTCCAAAACATACATGGATGGATGGATGGATGGATGGATGGATGGATGGATGGATGGATGGATGGATGGATGGATGGATGGATGGATGGATGGATGGATGGATGGATGGATGGATGGATGGATGGATGGATGGATGGATGGATGGATGGATGGATGGATGGATGGATGGATGGATGGATGGATGGATGGATGGATGGATGGATGGATGGATGGATGGATGGATGGATGGATGGATGGATGGATGGATGGATGGATGGATGGATGGATGGATGGATGGATGGATGGATGGATGGATGGATGGATGGATGAATGAATGAATGAACAAAAAACAAAAAGTTTGGGGTCTGTAAGATTTTTTAAATGTTTTTAAAAGCCTCTTATGCTCATAAAGACTGCATTTATTACATCAATAATACTGTAAAAACAGTAATATTGTGAAATATTTTTACAATTTAAAATAACTTTAAATTTTTTTTACTGTCACTTTTCATCAATTCAATGCAACCTTGATGAATAAAAGTATTAATTTCTTTCAAAACAATCTCTCAGTTCTTATGTCTGCTGCTAACAAGTGGCTTTCAGTCTGAGAGAAGAAATAAAGACAGGGAGAACTAGTAGTAAGAGAGAGAGGGATGGGGTCACACTCTCTAAAGTGCAAAACAAGTAGCACAAAGACATCTACAAAGAGCACTTATCTAACTCTAAAGCACAGGAACTCTCTCACTTTCCACATGAGACTCATGTTTGTTAGTGCAAGGTCAAAGCAGAATGAAAGATAATCAGCACCCAGCAGTATTAATGTTGCACAGACAAATAAACACACATATCCCTCATCATCTATCAACACTTCAGTGTGAGACATTATGCTACAGTTATCCCTTCTGAATTGTGAAAAGTATTGCAGAGAGTGAGAATGCGTGTAACTGTGAAGCCACAAAATATTGACAGTGTTTCTGCTCTGGGAGCCAAAAAATACACAGAAACTGAGCAATTCAATTGCAGTGGGGAGGGTTTTTCCAGGACATAATAGAACAGCGAGACACCAGCACTGCACATAAAAACCGGCCCAGAGACAATTACTAGCAGGTCCGAGAGGGAACCTCTGGACTTTTTCCCATTTGTGAGATTGCAGTGCTACAGGTGAACACTCCACCATAATAAATCCCCCATGATCCCACAGAAGACTAATGTCAAAGCCAGAGCAGGAATCAGGGCAAATCTGTTCGTTATTACTTTTCCAATACTTCAAGCCCCCTTAACCGAGAGTGGATCTCAAGTCAACACCATCCAATAGAACTCCTCTTTACAGAAAGGGCCAAAGTAAAACCACTTGCCCCATTGTATGACTAAACATGTGGAAACACAGAAAAGAGGTGGACAGAGAGGTTCACAAAGGATTAATTTCAAAACCCCTCTAAACAATCGTATTACAGTTTCTTCCGACAGGGATCAACATATCTCTGGCACTATAAAAATAACAAAAAGATAGGAGGAGCATTTTTCCTCATTAGAGAATTTATAGATAAATATATGGACAGTACTTTTGGAAAATATGTTATAAATTGTATCTGTGTGAATTGGCCCCAATGAAAAAACTAACTTCATACATCCACACCAGTAGGTGTCAGTATGAAACCAGAGACTGTACACTAAATTTTATAATATAATGTGCCTTGAAGGATTGTGATGGCAAATCTATCACAGTGTCTCTTATTCAGTTAGTGGCTTTTCTAAAATTGCGAGTAAATAATCAGCGGCAGCGTGATTTGTCTTTCTATGGCAATAACAAAAATAAACAATGCCCCACTAGAATGACAGAAATTGAAAAAGAAACAGAAGGCTTTCCCAGACACCCAACATGTTTACTGCCTTTCCCAGAGAGAAAACATCTGGGAAACCCCTCTGTTTCTCTTCAAGCTTCCATCATCCTAATGGGCGATTCCCAATTTCCTTCAGTCTTCCCGTTCTGTGAAAATTATGAAAAATGAATGTACGCCATATGGTAGGTAAACAGCACAAGGAAACAAGATTTATCCATGTGGAAAATTCATTTTGCCCGGTTTCCAATATAGAGCAGCGCTATCAAATGAATTGGTCACAGTAGCCAGTCCCCCCTTGTATGGTTTCATTATAGTGAAAATGCGGCAAAATAGGTACTATAGATTGAGAAAGAGTAGATATGTAGATGTATATAGAAAGAGACTGAATGAAGGTCAGCTTCATCAGACTCTCAATGGACCTTGCTGTATTTTCTGCCACCTGTTGAAGTATCGTAATCTATGCGCAGTATAGAGGGGCTATTCTGTCGGTGGGAGGAATTGCAATATATTTCAGCCCTTGCATTCAACACTAGAATAAAGACCACAAAAAATAGCACGCACTGTGGTTTATTCACTGTGCCACAGTAATCTAGCACTTTTATTTTGCCAAGGAATAACCCCAGCCCACGCTGAGACACAGCCACAGAAAGCAAATGAACAGGAATGTGCCGAAAACATTTGATTCTACCTTAGTTTCCTGCTGTAAAGACACATCTCCAAAACAAATATATTTTCCATTGTCTTTTATCATTCTCCCTGAATGGTAAAACAGCACTCGACTATTGTATTAAAAACCAGGGCTGAACCGATGGCGTCACCTCAAAGCCCAAACAGGGATATTCTGCAAAAATCTACAGTATCTCCTCTGGGACATTCATATATGCAGGCTTGGATGTTGATAAAAAATGGGCAGGGGCACAACTAGGGCAAAACTCCAATATCTCAAGCTTGCTAATCAAGTATGATGTGCAAAGTCTGGTTTTTGTTATATTTTCCTACAATTTTTCCTCTATGCTTGCTTTCTTTTTTGCACCATCTTTGGTCTCAGAGGTCCTTGAAAAACTAGAGACCTGAGAAAACCAAGAAGACAAGAAAAGCTGCCAAACAAAGGACGTGAAATACATGAATATCAACCGAAACAATGACACAAACAATTCAACAAATTCCAGGCATTTTCATTAATATTTTCATAGAATATTAAATATTTTCCTGAGAAGAAAATTCAAGTTCAGTAGAATTACTTTCAACGCATATCTTCATCGAGTTTCTTCACTCTGCTCAACAATTACAGCTGAAAGAGCAGCCTTGGAACTCCGTAGCAAACTGACACAGCAATGCAATGCAAATCAGACCAAAGGTTACTCTGGAGAATTTAAAGGAAAACATAAAAAAAAACTGGCTAGGGCAGCAATGATCTGTATTCTCAGCAGTAAAATTTAAATTTTGCAGTTTTTCTTCACTAATAGAGTGCTGCCAGAATAAGCCCTAAACCCAGAAACGAGTTCTTTTTCACTTTTGTTTCCATCATCCCAACATTATTTTTAAATGGCTTTTTGATTAAATGCCTGAAATGAAATCTGTGTTTAACACAAACAAGATACTGACACAATTTATTCTGTGACAGGGGTGTCCAGTCCTGCTCCTGGATGGCCAATATGCTGCAGAGTTTAGCTCCAACCAGCTCTAACACACTAGCCTAGGAGTTTCTAGAGAGTGAACCTTGATTACTTTGGTTCAGGTGTGTTCAGGGTTTGTAGCGTTAGGTTTCTACAGGACAGTGGCCCTTTAGGTACAGGTCTGGACACCCCTGTGAAATGATCACCCATAAAATGATCAGTGCTACCCTACTCGACTTGTTGTTTTCATGTGTCTTGAAAGGTGGCTGCTAGCAAGTGGCTTAAGAGAACTGCAATGGTTGTCGGGAGACTAAATATCATCACGACTAACAGGTAAACTCATCTACTCACTAGTCCACTTTTACAGCCTCGTTGTATTTATAATTGCACTCTTACAAACTCAAACTTTCCAACTGATTTTAAATGAAAACTGAAAGACTTTCCAGAAGCCTAATGCTGAAGTTAAAGTCATTTGACTCTTGTGCAGTTCATTTAGAGCCTAACTTTTCCTTTTTAATTCTGTCGACTGTATTTAGGCTTCATAAAAGCTGTGATTGTTTGTGAAGATTACCTTGATAAAAAAGTGTAAGAATCATAAACTTTTGTTTGTCACAGAGCTTATTTTCTACAATAATCCAAAAGCTAATGGAAAAATACTTTTGGATTTTTTTCCCCGTGAGAACCTGGGTGATGCTAACTTCCGGGTTGGTCTACGAAAATATATCATTCCAAGCATAATTTCTCTGCTAATTCATCTGAATTTTTAGAACCAGAGCTAAGTAAGCTTGAAAACCAAAGAACTGAATAATGGCTTATCTAAACCATCAGGTAGCACTGTCACACTTATGTCCACACAGCAAAATATGGTTGACCAGGACCATAGTGGTAAATGGAAGGTCTTACCTTTCCAATTAACCTTGGGAAGGGGGCCCGCTGGTTCTCTGGAACAAACATGGGGGGCACCAGCAGGGATCTTTTGGATCGGTATGGCATCATGTCTGACAGACCCAGGATCTCCTAAATCACAGCACAGACAAGACAAAAAAACTGAAAATAGTTTAAATGTAAGAAATTCATGTGTAATTATGTGTCACTCTACTTCAATGTCAAATATAACATATTAAGAGGTAATTTGACATTTAGCTAATATAATCCAAAGGGACTTCATGTACACTTATTACAGGAACATTTATTGGGCTAACTGTTTTGCTCAAGAGGACAACGGTGATGGATCATAAATCATGCCTTGGAGGGTTTTAACCTATAACCTTTCAGTTGCCATCCCAGATCTTTAACCACTATGTTATTATACATCACATTAGTCCCATAATGTTATGAATACTTCATAAAATCAATGTAAATCCCTTCATGAAGGACACTACCAACTCTTACACTGGATATGGCCATATAATGTTATTTGAATGGATAGAAAAATACACAATACATCCTATTAGGGTTACTGAACTATGCAGACATCTGATAGCGCTAATATAAATCTCTGGCAGGTACATCAATACAAACAAGGCACGCTGTGCTCTTACCAAAGTCATTAAAAGTGGTAATTACGGCAGTACTGTGGTTTTTCACCTTTGCTGCCATTGCTTCCTTTATTTAGATAGAAGCTTAATTGAAAGCCATGTCCTATTTCAGAAAATTAAACTAAGCAAATAATGTTGCAAGCTTTCATTCTGCAGCTCTAAATGGAGTTAAGTGAAGACTGAGCCTTGAAGTGACAAAAAGAGACATTAAACTGTATAAGGGATAGTGTATAGTCAGCTGGTCATTATCACAAAATATCACTGACTCAATATGACTTTTATGTCACACTGATGGGGTTTATTTTGCGATAATGGCCGCCTGACTGCACATTATCTGGCTTATTATGCAGACACACACCAAATAAGTAAATATATAGAAATGAAATACTGATTTAGTTTAAAATAATTTTAGCAAACAAAGAAAAAAAGAGCACAGAGGGACATTAACACTGTGTAGGAGATTGGTTGCCATGGGTAACGGTCAATTATATAGTTTAGTAGTTATTATGGAAATTTTTTGAACACAGAATGTTACAACTGACCAATCAGAATAAAGTATTCCAGATAAAATAGTTATAAAGATGCAGAACATGCAATCTGAGCCACAGATCTCATCCCACTTAAGGTGTAAAAATGCAGCAAATGTTTTTTTCGTGGGTCTCAGCCTTCCTTGTGACTACTGAAGTTTATTAGCATCTCAATTCAATAACCAAGCTAATCAGCGTCTCTCATGTTACCCTCTCTGATCCGTTCTTTCTTCCTCGCCATTTTGTTCTATTCTCTTTTCTTTGTCAACACTGTTGCAATTACAGCCCCTAAGGAAAATTAGATGGCAGCGCAAATTATATTTGTCACTCAACATTGACAGCAGGTTGAAACGGAATATATTAGCATGGTGGCAGCAACCAGTGCAAGTTCCCGCTGGCCCTAGACGGCCATGTGGCAGGAGTAAATGGCCCTATAATGTCTTTTGATGACCTGGATCAAAATGCTTTCCGCAAACCCAAGGCTTAGCTTATTGGCATGCTCAAGCTAGGCCCTACTGTTAGACGCTGGAACTGCATTTTTCAGAATTCTCTGCTTAATATTTTTTCAGGATTTTCAGGAAGGTTCAGGAGTATTTATTTAAAAGAGAAAACCTTTGTAACACTAAGGGGGAAGAAAGGAAAAAATATACTGACCCCAACTACTTAATGAGTTGTTACAATGAACTGATTTATTTTTCAGGAGAAAATATCAAAAAATCAAAACCAGATAAATGTACTTGAGAAGCAACACTGCATAAGACAAAGAATTGTTTTCATTGGTTGTATCTTAAATATAAGCGCATTTTGTGTTTTAAATCATGTATTTTGCCATGTATTTTAAGTCGATAAATTTAACTGTTAACTTGTTTATAACAAATGGGGAAAATATGTTAGTATTCAATATACATTTTCTGAAAGCAAGTTTTAATATTTTATGCAATATTGCTTCTTAAGTAAATTTATATTATTTCAAGAACTTTTAGACATTTATATTTTTAACTTTTTTTGCAGTGTAGCTCAACAAATTCCAGGAAGTTCTCTGCTAGGAAAGCAACTGCCATTGAGATGAATGTGAATGCTAACAGATATCTTTCCCAAGCCATTACAGACCACCTTGTTCTCAACAAACCAGTCATTTCAAAGTTTTTTTATCTCAAAAATAAAATGCAATTTGAGCAGTAGTTAAACATGAATGGCCAAATGCAGAGAAATAATTAAAGTACATTAGCAAATCGCATTATGACCTATATGGCCCATCTTGATCTTCCCGGACAGAAGATTCCATTTGTGAAATGGATACATCACACCACCATCTCTGGGGACAGCCTGAGCTATTAATGTGAGCAAGAGTGTCTCAAGTACTTTTCAGGCTGATATTAAGATTGATGGGTGATGTTTTTCAGGATTTGCAAAACTGAAAAATGTATCATAAATCCCCACGGATCAGTCTTAATAGTATTTCTTTCTTTTTTTTAATCTGTTCTTTAAATGAATTATTACAGCCTGCTGTTGTTTTGATGTCATTAGCAGATACACACTACTGTTTCTCTCCAAAATCTCCCTTTATTGAGGGAATTACTTTCACCGTCCTGCTGTCATGAGCAAAAGAACGCCATTAAACACAGAGATGAATTTTATTATCAGAGCAACGTATTAACAGTCTTAAAATGCTTTATAGTGAAAAAAAGGATTATGATATTTCTGTTTGTTCAGCAAGGCTCTAGAAACCCTTTCTTTACGCTTCACATAAGCAGCCTTTCAGCTGAATTGAAGCTGAGGACACGACGACAGCATGTCGTCTCACAGATCCCAGCATGCATCTGAACTCATTACAACATTGAACCAATCTGAGCTGCATTACAAGGCAGAACAAGGAGGAGGGAGAAAGAGGGAGGGCAAAAAAGAATGTCACCTCGTAGCAACTGGAAAACAGCAGCTACAATGACTACATAGTTTGTCAAGGTTGGAAAAGCACCACTAAGAAGGCTCTTTTTGTCAATCCAGTAATTTTTATGCTTCGATTTCCATCTATTTCTATTTCTGTTAGCTTATCTCTTTTGCTCCTGTTCTCTAAATTCCAACCCACTAAACATGCACTCCACAGACAAAGAGTTAACTTGACAAGCTATTTATTGTGTCCTACTCATGTAATTTTTGTTGGGCGGGAAATGGTTGGGGTGCGGTCACAAACTTTCCATTTGCATCGGAAGCACAGCATGTCCTGTCCTTGCTGGATGTCTTTGGTCAGGTGTAGCAGCGGTGGAGTCATGGGGTAATGTGAGAGGCTGGATTCAGAGCTGCTGGAGCCCAAAGGCTGTCAGGATGACAAAGGTGGAATAGAACGGACAGAATTTGTTTGCACAGTCATTTGTTCACCACGTAATGTGAATCATAGCCTGGCCATATTTGATACCTACACTCAGAGATGGAGCAAGCTGATCCATTTACGTATATATCGTGAACTTTTGAAGCTCGTTCAATCAATCTGTGTCCACTGCAAAAAATGCTTTTCTAGCTTAGATTCAGAAAAAACAAGTCGAATTCAAGTGAGTTTTTGCTTGAAACAAGCAAAAACTCACTTGAATTCGACTTGTTTTTTCTGAAAACAAGACAATTTTTGTCTTGATTTAAGAATTTTTAGATATTTTGGCTGGAAACAAGACAAAAGATCTAAGCTAGAAAAGCATTTTTTGCAGTGTCAGAGCAATTTGTTTTATATTATTATTTTTTGACACAAATTAGTTTATAAAAGACGTAACAAATTTTTATATATTTTTTTCTTTCGTATTACATCTGTTAATTTATCAAATAAAAAATAATCGCATGAGTAGAATTACTTTCTATTTGTAAAGTATCTAACTGCATTATTAAAAAGGAAACAGATTGTTGTCTATGAGTGAGTCACTGAATATTTCACTCGATTCATTCAGAAATATTGATTCAAATGAAACAAGCATGTCATTGAATCATACACTTAAATGATTCATTCAAATAAGTTTTAATATCAAAAACACACAACCTTGCATAAAATCTCAAATGGTTCTTAATGCGACAGTTCACAAAAATTTATATTCTGCCATTACTTACTCACCCTCATATTGTTCCAAACCTGCATGATTTGCACCCCATTCTTCATAACATCTTATATGAAGAAAGTTAAGTTATACAGTTTTGGAATGGCATGAGGATTTCATTTTGTGGTCTCTTTAAAGGACCTTTCTATGGAAATGCAGCATTGTCATTGGTGTAATGATTCAAACTATAATCATACAGTCTATAGCTCACCTTTCAGAGATTGCTTTAAAGTCACTATGTGTCTTTCAGTCACTGTATTGAAACTTATGACATGCCAGAACAGAACATCATATCAGTCCCTTCACCTTGGCTGAGAGCCCTTTTCCATGAGATAGTCACCAATATGTCCTCCCATCATAAGGGGAGTTTATGTTACTCTCATCCACTACATAAGGGGCATAAGTGATAGAGTGACGGGTCTTACGGTGAAGATGAAACATCTCCGTCAACTCATCGACTCGCTGCAGTGAGCGATGGAGAGAATGAGAAAGACTGATGGAACTTTAAGAACCTTCTCTGTTGGAAAAATGAAGGTATGCGTTGAGGTTATTGATGATTTCCTTTGCCACTCTTCCCCCGCCGCATTCTCAAGGACAAAAAAGCACACCGCGCCGCTCTGAGAACAGAGTGCAAGGTCTGTTGTATGTGTTCGCTATGCCTTCCCTCTGCCAGTGATGAACACTGTTGGCTAGAGCATGCTGACATGCTGAAAAGAAGATAGTCATGAATCTTTAATGCTTCCTGTTCATAAATTACAGAGGTACAATCATCCCTGCTTCAGCTTTCTCTGCTCTATGAGCTAGTTTGAGCTCTCATTAATAACTGAAACAGGGCGGCTTAAAGATTAGTGGCATACGAATCCCAGCCATAGAGTACATTGCATCACTGAGCTGCATTGAGGATTACGGTTTTTGAAATTCTTCCCACCATTTAGCAAATAAATTGTGTGTTAAGCAGTTTTAATATGTTTTCGCTTATTTTCAATCCCTGCAATCATCTGACGGCTCATGGTTAGCTCCTTGCACGGAACTGAACCAGCAAATTTTCGGTTAACAGCTCTCTGCCTCAACCATTACGCCACCCAAGCTGCCTTTTGAAAATTCTGGTCAAAACCGCAATGCAAGCAACTTTAACATCACAAAATGAGCTGCTGGTTTATGGGGACCAAAGTTCAAGTCTGACCTGGGTCATGTCCTAATCTAATTTTCACTGTCACCCATACCTCGGTATGTGCACTTGACTGTAAATAAAATAAAATAAAATAAAATATAGAATAGAATAGAATAGAATAGAATCCAAGAAGTGCTAAAGTTATACAACTTTTTTTTTACTTAAATTATTTTAATAATCAATTAAATTACTAATGAAATGTTTGAATATAGAAAATATATATAAAGAGAGAGAGAGTATTACAGTAATAAATATTAATATACATTAAAGATAATTAATGGTAATAAGTGTGAATGACACTTATGACACTTTCAGTGAAATATGTGCAGATAGGGAGAGAGGCGAGATTGTAACAGTATTTTTTTTATATATACATCTCAAATGATTCCATGATTGCCCCCAGAACTGTCAAAACTTGTGAAAAGACAAACAAGCTAGGGAGGTTCATTAAAGAGAGAGGTGACAGAAGACATGGTGAGGGTTTCTGTTGTGGGTTTCAAAGTGAATCATTGTAATAATGGCTATTTTAGTAACATTAATGCTGCTGCTAATGGCGTAGTGTTGAAAAATGGGCACTTGAACCTTTGTGGCTGTGCTGTGAGAGTTCCCAAGACAAAGAGCTGGTTTATAATACCTGAAAAAAATCTGTTATTCACAGTCATCTCAAAGGCAGTTGTTTGGTTGCTGTGGGTACCAAAAATGTAGATGGCACACACTTCTGGGCACACAATTTTTTTTGTAAAGGCAATCACCTAATGCCAATGTGAATAATAACTATGGGAAAATTACAGTCTGACATGCTCACAATGCTGGTTTGTTTGATTGCACTAAAAGAGCACAATCAAAAGCTTTCACTAGCAACTATCCTAAGCTGTGATGTCTAAGATAACAGACAGAGAAAAAATGCATTTCATTCTTCTAAGCGCCCTCCCACCAAAAAAGTTAAAACTGCTACTATATTTGCAATTTATATTATTTCAAAATAAGCAAATAAATAAATTGATTTAGTCAAAATGTACAGCTACTTTTTAATGGCTGTCAATAAAGACAGATGCAGGTACTAACTGGCCCATGCTAACTAGCCAAAACTAGACCCGTTAGTCATAGTTGATCTTTAATTGAGCTCTCCATTTGCAATTTTATAAACTTGGTTTCCCTCTAACACTGGTTCTCAATGGTCTTTGAAGTATCAAGGTTCCCACGGTCTTATAGTGTCAACAAAGTTGAGAAATGCTTTATAACACCTAAATCCTTTCAGTCTTCTTAACAGTGCAGAAAATGCTCAAATGTGATCAAAACCCTCAATCTGCTTTTCCTAAGTCATCAAAACTCATCAATAATTAGGGCTCAGGGTTGTCAGAGGCATCGCGTCCTTGTCAATTCTGCCACTCTGCTGCTGACTGCCCTATTGGGATATATCATTACTCATTTCTGACTTCTCATTTATCCAGATGGAGAGAGGAGTCAGAGTGCCAGACAGAAACCTCAGGGTTTGCATTGCAGATTCTCTGCCTGGAGTAATTTTTCCCAAAAGATCTGTGTAAACCCAAACTTTCAGGAACTTCTAGATGACAAGTACTTAAAATTATAATAAAACGATCAAACCAGACAAGCTAAAACCTTAGAATGCTTTCAGATGTTTTATTTTTCAGCACGGTAAGCAACTTAACACTCATGATGTACCACTTTCTATAAAACAACGAGATTACATTACTACCACCGGCCAAGGCTAAAGACACCAGAAAGGCCAATAAACAAGTAAAGGCAATAAACAAGAACGATTTCCGACCTTTAACCTTGTGACCAGGTCATCCTCTTCTTTAGAATAAATGAAAAATGACTGTGAAAGAAAGAACCTGGTATATTTCTGCAGATTACAAATTGAAGAGTATGAAATGTCAAGGCCTTACAAATTCACAGCATTTTTTTTATTCTTCACTCCATTTGGTGGTACCACAAGTAAAGACTGTCTCATTCAAACATAGAAACACCAGAAAGGAAAACAAATCATGAAATTAATTTGTATATTAATCCTCTGTAAAATACTGAATTATACCCTGAATTCACACTTTTCTCATAAGGCCTTTTCTTCAGGCGTGCTGTGCTTGTACGACAGCTAGAATTACATCACGTCAGCCTCTGGGGAAAGACGGAAGCCTTTTCCATTTCCACTCGCACTTATCAATAATCAAAATCCAATAAAATGGGCATTAAGTCAAATATGGCATCAATAAGAAGAGCTTCCCTTCGGCAATCACTAGCTGATGCAAGGTTTTCTGCCGGGAACAAACCAGTGGGTTGGGGTGAGGTTTATTTTTGAAGGCTTAGTCTGACTGTGATTACAGGATGTATGATCCATAATGACCCTGCTTCCAGGCTCTCGCCTCAGCCTCTTCACACGCTGCTGTTCTCCCCAAGCTGTGTCGCATAGCAATCACTTCACTCATGCTATATATCTCATTTGAGAGTATAATTCATAGTTTATTATCTCAAAGAGGTGGGAGCTAGTTGCTTTTCATTCACTATGGCACTATATGCAATATAATACAGCTATGACCTAAATGTTGCGGGGGGGAATTATTTTTAAATAAATAAAAAACGTTTAAAGTTTGGTTTAAGCTGGTTTTTTTTTTTTATTGTCCTTAAAAATCATGATTATACACACTTACTGTTCAAAGGTTTTTTGGTCAGTAAGATTTGTTAATGTTTTTGAAAAGTTTTTTACATTCACCAAAGCTCTATTTATTTGATTAAAAATGCATTAAGAAAACAGTAATATTGTGAAAAATAATTACATTATGACTTTAATATATTTTCAAATGTAATTTATTTCTGTGATGAAAATCTGAATTTTCAGCAGCCATTACTCTAGTCTTCAGTGTCACATGATCCTTTAGAAATCATTCTAATATGCTGATTTGCTTAAGAGATATTTCTTATTTTTATCAACATTGAAAAAAACGGTTGTGCTACTTAATATTTGCATGGATACTGTGATACTCTTTTCAGGATTGTTTGATGAATAGAAAGTTCAAAGGACCAATGATTAGAAATATTTTATCCCAAAGTGAAAGTCTTTAATATCGCTTATGATCAATTTAATGCATCCTTGCTGAATAAAAGTATTCATTTCTTAAAGAGAAAATCTTACTGACCCCATCATTTTAAACAGTAGTATATAGTCTATATTGAAATTAAATTACAATCAATATTAACCAAGAAAACCCTCCAAAAAAGAATTCAAGATATTATTTTAAATGTATATGTTATAACATCTTGTGCATGGTGTACATCTACTGTTATTTAATGTTCAATTAATTTCAAGGGTAAATTGGTCAGATTGACAATTCATTGTAATGAATTGATTCAAATGAAGTATTTAACATAATTAGACAACACGCTGTGTTTTTTTTTATACGGTTAGAGAAAAAAAAAATGCCTTTATGAACATAAAAAAGCCCCACTGGGGCAATTTCTCCCCCTTAATAAAAAAAGAAAAGGTTAATTTCTGCCAATGGTCTCCTTTAAATTAAATATGTGACCCTGGACCACAAAACCAGTCATAAGGGCCAATTTTGAAATTGAGAGATGAATAAATAAGCTTTCCATTGATGTATGGTTTGTTAGGATATGACAATATTTGGCCGAGATACGACTATTTGAAAATCTGGAATCTGAGGGTGCAAAAAATCTATATACTGAGAAAATCGCCTTTAAAATTGTCCAAATGAAGTTCTTAGCAATGCATATTACTAATCAAAAATTACGTTTATATATAACTACGGTAGGAAACGTACAAAATATCTTCATGGAACATGATCTTTACTTAATATCTTAATGATTTTTGGCATAAAAGAAAAATCGATAATTTTGACCCATACAATGTTTTTTTGGCTATTGCTAAAAATATACCCAAGAGACTTAAGACTGGTTTTGTGGTCCAGGGTCACATATGTGACTGTCCTCATGGATACCATGACAGGACATGATGGGTAATTTTTAGTCTGAGCTGGAGTCTGTCAATATGATGGCAGTAAAGACACACTGACTGACGCATACATGCAGTTCTGAAAGAACAGAATCATGGGTGTCCAGACATACGATGTCCCCAGCGTAGAAGACCATTTAAAATGACAAGATTAAAGACTTCAGGCCATTTAACAAATTGACACACACAAAATCAGCTCACAGAGAAACGCTTACCCTGAGTGTCTGAGGAGATCTGGAAGGTGCTCCCATAATGGTCACCTGTGCCATGTCATCGACATGATTGTTGACACCATGGACAAACATGACATCTCCGCTGTCGATCACGTCTCTTCTGGGAACCAGATTCAATTTCTCGTCTATTAGGAAGTCAGGGTTTGATACTTCAAACTCCACACCCTCATTTCCAGCGCAGTCTTCAAACACCACTGCAGAAAATTCAAGAGAAAAGGAGAGATTGACATATTAGCTTAGGAGAAATAAAGTCTGACACTTGAAACCAATATCACATATCATTATATAGATAAAAAGGAATGTTAACCATAGTTAGCATGGTTAAGATGACCGCATTCATTCACAAGTCACCTAGTATGACTTCCAATGTAAAAAGTGTCAAGAAAGGACTCTTTTGAGGTGATACATCTTATCTTTGATGAAAAATGGACTTGCTGCCGCAGAAAATGTCCCTGAAAAGGTGACTATGCCTGATGAAGCTATCCCACCACTCATTCATCCATGAGCTAAAAGCAGGTAAAAAAAATATAGCCCATTCATCAATGGATATTAACATGAAATAGAGAACTTTAACCCTCAATAATATCGACCCCACTTTCATCTTCACCCATCAGGTCTGACTGAGGAAGATACGGCCACTCCGGGCCAGCTTATCCCCTCTGATTGTGTCCGTTTCCATCTTATCTTAAAGCCCCATACCTCGCTTTCACTCTTTTCATCCTCTGTGACATATTCCTCCTCTCATTTCCCTTCCCCATCCCTCTTTTTCTCATCCATAACTCTTCTTTTCCTGCCCGTTTACCATTCTCTTTGACACTCTTAAGTTATGTTCTCGTAACTCAAGGTGACCTGGGGGGGGAATAGACTTGAATCGGGCAGTATGACCAAAATCTTCAAGTTGTTTAGATATGGAATAGAGTTATTATTCTTGCAAATACATGCCTGTATGCATTATGTTCTAAGATAATATTTTCCCCACTGTTTTTTTTTTAATAGCCATAATAACCAAAGATTTTTTAAATATATATAAAACTAAAATTTATATATATTTAGTCAAAAATTCAGTAAAAAAAACTGTACCATTGTGAAATATAATTACAATTTAAAACAACTATTTTCTATTCGACTATATTTTAAAACGCAATGTAAAGACATTTTCAGCAGCCATCAGTCTTCAGTGTTACATGATCCTTCAGAAATCATTTTAATTTGCTGATTTATTGCTCAATAACATTATAACTTATTATCAATTTTGTAAACAGCTATGCTGCTTAATATTTTTGTGGAAACTAATATATATTTTCAGGGTTATACAAATAAATAGAAAGTTCAAAAGAACAACATTTGTTTCAAATAAAAGTCAAAAGTAAAAAAAATAAAAAATAAAAATAAAAAACCTTGACTGACCCCAAACGTTTAAATGGTAGTGAGCAACATATGTAACAAGCCAAAACAAGACTTTAAAAATAGCTGATATGAATAGCAGTGATGGCTGTTAAATTATACATTATTATAGTAACTATATTATTGCATTAGTATAATAATGCTCCTACAATTACACTGTGTCTAAACTGGACTCCCAGCATGTCAGAAAGAAACCATTCCAATTATGTATCCATTTTTTACAGAAGATATACTGCGGTATAAAAAGCATTGCAGGATCTGTACCGGATGACACATTCCTACAGCCTTACAAAGGCTACACATGTATACACGCAAAGGCACACACATTAAAGCCCTTCACAGATTCAGCCTTTGAACCTTCAATGTTTTTTTGAAAATTCTATTATATCCATAAAAGCTTAAGTGAGAACTGTAATCGGCTATAGCCACATTTAAATATGCCATTTAATGCATTCAATGAAGATTTCATTTGAGTAAGTGAGCTGGAACAGTGCCAGTAACATTATTTTGCATTCGCTCTGAAATCGCATTTATGTTCAAAACGACTAATGTGGCAGCGGCAGCTCCAAAAGCTAAGTGTTTAGCATGACACGTCAATAACGAATGCCTCTGTGACCAATTAGCTTAATTGCTTAGCAGCCTTGATATACGTTGCGCACTGCAGGACGACAAAAGTGAAAAAACCTACAAACACCTCACACCTGTGCATGAGCTGTATTCAACTGCTTTTTTCTCTTTAAAACTGCTCCTTTTGTGAGCCACACTGGCTGTTCGGATAAGAAATACACTATGTATTACTCGGGCAAGCTGGTGTAGGTGCAAGATAAAGATATTGTCTTGTTCTCTCACTTAAACATTCACCACCATACCATACAAAGCATCCTCAAGCAAGGACTGCGGTGATGCTAACAGCGTTAGCACGGTATGACCAGAGAGCGTTTCACATATCTTTTCAGCTAATTGAATTGAGGCAGAATCAGTAATGTGACGCCCTATCGATAACCTCCATGAACACAGGTGATGAAACGGCAGGTAATCGAATCAACAGTCATTTTATTGCCTGCGGAAGCACCGGTTTCCATCGAAAGGGATCATTCAGTGGTGCGGAGAAGGGTATCTTGATGCCTTTCAAGCGAATTCACTTTTTATGCGTGATTTTTTTATGTTGTATGCGATCTAGACACCCACAGAGGTAAGAATAAGGACATTACTTCAAGTTTAAAATGTGCACTTCAACTGCAGACCAAAAACAGACCATGTGTAGGCTCGTGTGGGGGAGGCTCTTTCCAGAAAGTAGGCAGTATGGCAGGAAATTATGCATTATGCGTTTTCTGATGGAAATACTCAAAAATATATCTGTGGTGGGAGATGCATACAGCCAATTAGCACATTTAAGGTAATTCAGGGCATTTAAAGAATAATTATCACATTAAATCTGCAATGCTAAGTCTACAGTATAGTGCCATGATAACAGAAACGGAATCTTAATTAAACTGAATCAGATATAAATGTTCTAAAATGAAATACAGGGTACCAAGGGGGGGGGGGGGGGGGGGAGTCAAAATGTCTTCCGATTGTGTTATCTTTAGTGAAAAACTAATGGCAGTTCTTTAAAAGAGAAATACGTACCAAATACCAATGCCCCTGCTGAAAAGTTTTGAAATGTATTATTTCTTTTGAGAAAGAAAAATTATTAAGTGCAAAATAAGGAAATAAATAAATAAAATTAAATATTGTATGAGGAAATTAGTAAGGACAGTATTATGATGAGAAGTTAAATTAAATAAATGCAAAATTAAATACTACTACTAATACCATATGCAAATATTTACATCGTATTCAGAATGTTAAAGTAGCAGAATGTTAATATAGTAGTAGGATGTTGATATTTTTATAGTATATTTAATGATGTGAGATATATAAACCTGGAGGAAAACATTTTCAATTAATAATATTTCCATTAAATTTATTTTCTTAGTGTTTTTCATAAGAAATATTGATCCAAAGAATATTGAGAGAGATCAGTGCTTTAAAAACCTCAATGAATGAGCTAAAGGTAAAATCTGCGAGGAGAAATTTGCTAAAAATATTTTTGAATACAAATTCAAACTATTCTTAAACATACACGCCAAGGAAGGTGTCAACAGATATTAACTCTGTTCTGAGTTTCATTTAGTTACTGTCTTCTGTTCTGGTTTAGGTTCATGTTTGCCCATATCTGGTTCCGTTCCTGTTGTCTTTAGTGCATTAGTTCATTAGTAAATTATCGGTTAACCCTCAGCACCTGTATGTCCCTCATTTACTGCCTTATTTAAGATCTCTCACCAGTTATTATTGTTGTGAATGCTTGTGTTCCCTACTGTCTTGGATTAACCTTCATCGTCTGGAGATCTTGTATTGTGTTATCTTCGTGTTCATGCTCTTGACATAAGCGTGACAGAATAACCGGCCTATAAAGGAGTGTAAGCGGCATATTCCCCTCGTTTTGTTTTTTGTTCTTGAAACAAACCACCCACTGCAACACCGCTGAGGGTGAGATAGTACTTGACTCAGGAATTAATCTGGATGAGTTTGCCAATATGCCTGATCTTCTGCCTCCTGATGAACCTTCCGAATAGCCCTCGGCTCCACCCTGGCCCCCCGGATCCTCGGCATCCCCTTGGCTCGTTGGCTCTCCGTCTCCACATCGGGCTCCACCACCACCTGATCCGCAGTCGTCAGCCCTTCCTCCACCATGGCTCCTCCCTCCGTCGGCTCCACCGTGGGCGCCTTCATGGCTGTGGCCTGGGTCCTGCCTGACTCCTCCTGCTCCAGCTCCCTCTTGTCTCCGTCCTGGCTCCTTCCTCCGTCTACTCCTCCATGGTCACTCCTGTCTCATCCGTGGGTCCTCCCTCCGTCAGAGCCATCCTGGTCATCAGCGTGCCTCCCTGCCTGCCCTTCTCCAGCACTTCACCCTCCTCCTGAACCCCCGCCCTCCCTCCACCTTCTACGGCACGAGGTCGCGCCTTCCGGGAGGGGGGTGTGATGTCACAGATATTAACTCTGTTGTGTGTTTCATTTAGTTTGTGTCTTCTGTTCTGGTTTAAGTTCCTGTTTACCCATATTTGGTTCTGTTCCCGTTGTCATTAGTGCATTAGTCAATTATCAGTTAACCCTCAGCACCTGTGTATCCCTCATTTACTGCCTTGTTTAAGATCTCTCCTTGGTTGTTTCAGTTGCTGGTTATTATTGTTGTGAATGCTTGTGTTCCCTACTGTCTTGGATTAATCTTCATCGTTTGGAGATCTTATTAAAAGTCTATATTGAGTTATCTTCGTGTTTGTGCTCTTGACGTAAGCATGACAGAAGGAGAGATGAACAATTAGTTTAAAATAAATAATTTTTTTTATTAGCAAATGAATGAATGAATGAATGATGGAAATAAAATATCCCTGAACCCCAGTTTGAAAATTCCTGTGGCCGTGTGCATGAAATCCTTCAACTAGTCTTACATCTTTTTTTACATACAGTAAAAACATATATTAGTCTAATACAGGGGCGCCGGACAGGGGGTAATAGGAGCAGAGTAACAGGGGCCCATGGCAGGGCACCATAGCAAATTCAGTGCACAGGGCCCAGAATTCCTAGCAAAGGCCTTGGTCTAATATTTTAAGACCCAGTCTTAACATAGCGGCCAAGTTTATGCAACTGGTACCTGGTTCGACCAGGAATTTTCCAAAGATGCATTAAAGAGTCATATGAAAGAGGCTTGAGACATATTGAGGACCATGTGGTGTAGTCATACACAAAG